TCCCAATCACTTTGAATCGGCAAAGGAAGAAACGTTCCTCATTCCCTCTGAACGTTTGCTATTAACATTCAACTTGCAATATAGTGCTTCCAATCTCAAGAAAGAAAGTACTGACAACTCATACCAGACTATGGAGTATTTTAATCAGCTGATACTTAATACTTACGTTTACATATACTTTGTCTTTTTTTTTATCCTATTTATCATTGAAAATTGCTGCTTTGAATACCAATTTATTTGATTTCAAAATAGACTTGACAAACTGGAGAGAGTTGCCAATTTGTTTGTTTTCTCATTTTTCCTGAGCTTGGACAGAGCACAGTAAACAACCCCGACAACGTTTCTCACCTTGAACCAGTAAACAACGTTGCTCACATCCAGGGGCTTCCTACCTCGGCGTGACTCAAGTCCATTCAGCTCCGTCACATACTGCTGGATCTGGGAATGAAAAGACAAGGAAAAAACGTCAATTATATTGTGAGGAACATAACAAGAGGAGCGTGACTTAGGCACATTCGCCCGAAGTCTCTTAATAGTGATGCCAAATAATGGTGATGGTAAGAATAATGAAGATAAAGAGACAAACAGACAAAAGAGCTGATTAATATCAAATCATATCATACTTTTTCTCTTTCGTGCGTTCGTTCTTTTTCTCTTGTCTCCGAAGAGGGTTAATGTCATTAATCAATTGGGCGGCATATTTTTTTGTATAGATTGTCGTAATTATCATGTTTAACATAGTTATTATCCTTATCTTTTAGATTTATTACGTTTTTTTTAAAATTTATCTCCGATTCCCACTCCTCTGTCTCCTCATCATCTATTTTCCTCTTCTACATTTACTCTTCTTTCATCAAGTCTTCCTACTTATCCTATCCTTTTTCTTTTCTTAATTATTTTACCTTTCTCCCCCTCCTCTTTTTTTTTCTTATTCCTCCTTCTCACCTCTTCCAACTTGCCATACTCTTCTCGCTCTCTACATTGTACTTTCTCTTCCTTTCTCTTCCCTCTCTTTTATCTGCCTCCTCGTAATCTCCATCTTCCCGTTTCCCTCCTTTATCTATTCTTCCCTGTCCTTTCATCCTCCTCGTCCTCTTCTATTCACGTCACAGTAATGTTTTTTTTTTTTTTTAAAGATGAACTTAAACATATGATATTGCACTTTTATTTGCCATTTTTTTTTAATTTTTTTATATATATATATTTTTTTAATCTCTTGGTGCTTTGTTGGATGATTCGTCGATGTCTTTTAAATGATCTTTGTCTCTCTGTCAACTTGTCTTCCACCCAAGGTACATCTGAATTAACTGAGGACACACATATAATCAGATACGGTCGTACATAAACACGCACATACACAGTGGCAAACCCGCACGCACACATATATACACACAAATGTATGAGTATACATGTGTGTGTATATGTGTGCGTGTATGATTATACATGTGTGCATGTGTGTGTGTTTATGTGTATGTGTATGTGTATATACTTGTGTTTATATTTGTGTTTGTGTATATGTATGTGCATATGTAAATATATATGTATGTGTATATGTGCGTGTTGTGTGTATAGATGTGTGTGTCTGTATCTGTATGTAAGTGTATATGTTTATGTATGTGTGCATGTATATGTTTATGTATGTGTGTGCATGTATATGTTTATGTATGTTTGTGCATGTATATGTATTTATGGTCGTAAGTTGTACCCATTACCCCAAACATTTCCTCACAAATTCCCTTCGGCCCCTCAGTCTTACCTGTAGCCGTGTAGGGTGTTGATTCTCGGCGAACCAGCGATGCAGACGGGGCAACTCTAGCTCTGGATCAAAGCTCGTTCTCATCCTAGTCTTTTGCGGTCCATATTGGCTGGTCACTGTCTGCTGTGGGAGAGAAAGACAGGTATGTGTGTTGTAAGTTGTAAGTCATTGGAAGTAAAGTGAGATTTCTATGCGTTTTAGCTTTTCATGGAGATACTGTTTAATTCTGGGGATATGGTGTTTTCTGTATGTGTGCGTGTACGTTTGTAGAATTGGTAGGATAAATGGATACATTTATGACTATAGATCTCTGTGTAAAAACTGGAGGTCTACACTTAATGTACTCGAAGTAAATATATGCATAAGGGAAAAATCTACACACACACACACACACACACACACACACACACACACACACACACACACACACACACACACACACACACACACACACACACACACACACACACAAACACACACACACGCACACACACAAACAATCAAACCAACCAACCAACCAAACGAGCAAACAAAACAAACCTGTATCGCAGGGTGAATGGGCTCGGACGCAAGCTTCTCCATGGAGTGCGGGCGGGGGTGGGCGTGATGTGGGGGCGTCATGATGTGCGTCGTGGGCGGTGGGCGTGACGCATGAGCCACGTGCACTGTCCACCAAGCCTCGAACTGACGCGCTGATTCCTCACTGACCTCTCCTGACCCTCTGATCAAGGCTGACAACAGGCTCTGGGGACGAGGAGAAAAAAGGAGGTGAGAAAAGGAGAGAAACACAGGAAAAAGAGATAGATGGATAAATAAATAAAGAGATAAATAGATAGAAAGATAGAGATGGATAGAAGTAGATGGATAAAAAGATAGAAAGATAGAGATAGCGAAATATATAGATAGAGAGATAGATAGATAGATAGAGAGATATATAGAGAGACAGATAGATAAATAGAGAGATAGAGATAGATAAATAGATATAGATAGATAGAGAGATAGAGAGAGAGAAAAAAATATACAGATGGAATGACACAGACAAATAAAAACAGACAAAGAAAGAAAGAGAAAAAAAAGAAAACTTTACACATATCTAAAAGAAATTTAGAAACCACAAACACAAAGGCATCAGCTACCGACACCTGCAACACATAAAACCAACAACAACAACAATAAATAAAACATACTAAATGTTCTTTATATTCATCTTTCCTGTTGTCCATTTCTTTTTGTGTGTTTGCAAGGGAAAGGGTAAAAGCGAGCCTTTCTTGATAACTTCATCCGACGGACGAAAGCAAGATCAAACTGTAAACAGACCTGATGATGCGAACCTTGACATGAATTTGCGTCCACGTATATGTATACATGCATACATACATACATACATACATACATACATACATACATACATACATACATACATACATGCATTCATACATACATAAATATATATAGATATGTATATATATATATATACACATATCTATATGTATATGTATATCTATATATCTACACAAATATATATATTCATATATGCGTGTGTGTGTTTATGTGTGTGTGCGTGTGTGTATTTACACACACACACACACACACACACACACACACACACACACATACATACATATATATATATATATATATATATATATATATATATATATATATATATATACATACACACATATATACATATATACATACATACACATACACATATATACATATACATATATATATATATATATATATATATATATATATATATATATATATATATGTGTGTGTGTGTGTGTGTGTGTGTGTGTGTGTGTGTGTGTGCATATATATACATGTACCAACGACAACAATAATGATAAATAATAGTAACAATAGCAGTAATAATGATGGTGCCAATGGTGATACTAATAATGTTAATAATAACAATAATATTAATAATGATAATAACAATAATAATAATAATAATAAAAAAAATAAAATAATAATAATGATAATAATAATAATGATAATGATAATAATAATAACAAAAATAATGATAATAACAGTAACAATAATAATGATAATAATAATAATAACACAGATAATAATAATGATAATGATAATAATAGCACTGATAATAATAATAATGATGATAAAAATAATAACAGTAGTAGTAATAATGATAATAATGATAATAATAATAATAATAATAACAATAATAATAATAATAATAATAATAATAATAATAATAATAACAATAATAATACTGACAGTAATGATAATAATTACTAAAAGAATAATAATGATAACAACAACAATGATAATAATATAAACATGTATAACAATGATAACGATATCAATACTACTTCTAATCATAATAATAACAATAACAACAACAACAACAACAATAATAATAATAATAATAATAACAATGATAATAACAATAATGATAATAATAATAAGGATAAAAAAATAATAAGGATAATAATAATGATAATGATGCTAACAGTAATGATAATAATAATCATAATAATAATAAAAATAATGATAATGGTAATAATGATAATAATAATAGTAATAATAATAACAATAATAATAACAATAATAATATTAATAATAGTAATGATAATAATAGTAATAATAATAATAATAATAATAATAATAATAATAATTACAACTTTAACAATACTTCTACTACTACTAATAAGCAACAACGACAGCAATAATATCTAAACCATAAATTCATGTAAAAAAAAAAACAATTCCTTTGTTCTATTCACCTCATTCCGCTATTTGTCAAATCACGGCGAGAACGAAACAAAAAGAAAAAGAAAAAAAAAGAAAAAAAGAAAAAAAAAGAAAAAAAAACACACAAAAAAGTAGATAAAATAATAAAAGAAAACATTTAAAAAAAACGACAAAAAATGCAATAAACTTCAAAGTTCTGATAGTTTACATTGTGCTGCTCCAAAAAAATGTGATATATAAAAAAAAAAAAAATATTAACCGTAAAAAAAGAGGCAAAAAGTGAGTGGCGACACAGCAGAGCATAATCAGAACACGCACCACAGAGTATCAAACAAATGGATTAAGCTGATCCACAGTGTTAAATTAAAAATTGAAACCCCCCCTCCCCCCCTCCCCCCCTCCTCCTCTTCCTCCTCCCCTCTCTCTCTCTCTCCCTCCCTCCCTCCTTCCCTCCCCGCTCTCTTCTCATCCTGCTTCCTCTTTCTCTGTCTGTCTGTCCGTTTCTCTGTATGTCTGTTTATCTTTATCTCTGGTCTGTTTGTCTGTCTCTTTGTCTTTCCGATTGTCTGTCTGTCTCTGTCTGTCTGTCTGTCTGTCTGTCTCTCTCTCTCTCTCTCTTCGAACCCTCCCCCTCTCTCTCTCTTAATCTACTCTCTCTTTTTTCTCCCCGTCTGTTTTTTCTTCCTTCACCTGCTGATCATCTTCCTCCTCCTCTTCTCTTCCTTCTGTTATCGCCAAGATCCTCCTCCTCTTCCTTCTCTATTCATCATCTTCGTCATAAGCATCATATCCTTACACCATCCCCATCCTCCTCCTCCTGCTCATCATCATCATAATCCTCCTCCTCCTCCTCCTCCTCCTCTTCCTCCTCCTCCTCCTCCTCCTCCTCCTTCTCCTATTCCTCCTTCTCCTCCCCTCCTCCTCCTTCCCCTCCTCCTCACCATCCTCCTCCTCCTCCTCACTATCCTCCTCCTCCTGCTCATCATCATCATCATCATCGTCATTGTACTCACTCAATTACATCCTACAGGAGCAGCTCTTACAAAAAATGTATATCTTATCATGTATGACTGAAATGATGCCAACCAGAGCCATCTGCTTTAACTCTGTGACACTCTGATATTGGCACTGTACGGGTTTAGTACTTTCTCGGAAGAAGATGTGAGAGAGAGTTGGAGAAACAGAAGTAAAGAAGGTGGAGAGGAAGATGAAGAAGAAGAGGAGGAAAAGGAAGAAGAAGAAGGAGGAGGAGAAGAAGAGGGAGAGGATTAGGACAGATAGTCAACAAACAAACAGCGAGAGAAACGGAAAACAAATCCACTATGATTAAAAAAAAAAAAAATCTTAGACAAAGGAACATTAACCCAGACAGACCCAGGCATTTGGAACAAGAGAAACATAGACAGAAAGGAAGACAGACAGACAAACAGACAGACAGAGAAAGGTTTTAGTGTTAGCTTGGACTTAATCTCGTCTGTCAACTCAGGAAACATCAATTTTGTTTTCATTCTCTTTCTCTCATCTTTCTCGTGTTTCCATTATTCCATTCGCTTGATTTTCTTTCGCCCCCTTCGGAAAAATCTTTTAGTTGTTTTGCTTCTTGTTCCATGCTTATGTCTCTATCGCCTGATCTCTCTCTCCCTCTGCTCTCTCTCTCTCTCTCTCTCTCTCTCTCTCTCTCTCTCTCTCTCTCTCTCTCTCTCTCTCTCTCTCTCTCTCTCTCTCTCGTTTTCTCTGCCTCAGTCTATCTGTCTATCTGTCCATCTGGCTGTCCATCCGTCCGTCTTTTCGTCCGTCCGTCTGTCCGTCCTTCCACCCTTCCTTCCTTCCGCCCGTTCGTCCGTCCACCCGTCCGTCTGTCCGTCCTTCCGTCCTTCCGTCCGTCCGTGCGTCCGTCCACCTGCCTGCCTGTCCGTCTCTCTTGCTCTCTCTCTGTCTTAACATTTCGCTTCATCCATCACTTGGTCTTCGCAGCCTGTTCCCTCCTCCGCTTCACATTTCTCTCTCCATCTTCCTTGGTCCTATGTCCACGATTGTCTTATCTTTATTCTCTTTCGTCTCTCACTTTCCATGCGTTTGTTCACGTTACTCGCTTTCAGCTTTTTCTCTCTCTTTCCTCTTCTTCGTTTGCTTTCATTTTCCTTATTTTCCCTTTTCATTTTCTCTCTTTCCCTTTCTCTCTTTCTGTCTCTTCTTCTTTCCCTGTTCTCTCCTCTCTTTTTCTTTCCTGCTATTTTCTCTTTCATTTCTCTTCTCTTCGTTTCTCCCTCTTTCATTTTCTCCTCTCTTTCCCATTGCACTCAGTCCCTTTTCTTTTCCTCTCCGATTGTCTTCCGCTTTCCTTCCTCTTCATTTTTCTCACCTTTCTTCTCTCCCTCTCTCGTCCTCTCCTCTCCTCTCTCCTCTGCTTTTCCTCTTTCTCCCCCGTCTTCTCTCCCTTCTCTCCACTTTTCCTCTTCCTCCGACCCTTCTCTCCACTCTCATTATATTTTGCTTTCTCCCTCTCCCCGACCTCCCTCTTGCTCTTTCTCCTCTCTTCCCTCTTTTCCCTCTCTTTCCTTTTCCCTCTTCCCCTTTCCTCTTCCTCCCTCTTCTCCTCTCCCTGTGTCTGGGCGCCGTGCTGAGCCCACATATCTAGAGTGTAGAGGGAGGAGGGCGAGGACAGAGTTAATCCGTAGATCGGGATGCAGTCCTCAGCTTATCCCTAATCTGGCGGCGTCCGATTCCCTGGCACTGGCGACGACTCGGTCTTCCTGCATTCGCTCGATTGGAGGAAAAACGAGAATAAAAAGTGGCTGTCCGAACGATTTGGTATTACGTTGTTCTCTCGAAGTGACGCACGCGCGCACACACGCACTATGGAAGAACACGCCGCGAAGGACTTGGTGCAGGGAATCAGACAAACGAAGATGTAAATCTTACCATAAATAATGTGGCGAATGAATTCTATTTGAACGGTATCTTTAAACACGTCGATATTGAGTTGGTTTTTTAGCGTTTCAACCGCAAATGAGTAACTC